CGAGAAAATGTTCCACATACAAGGCCAAAGTTTGAAGAATTCTTCTGTTTGTGAAACCAATACACTAGTCCTCATTTCAACTGACTGTCAGAGCTGTTTGATGAAAATTAGATGCAGGAAAAAAAAAAAGTCATCACCATATGGGCTGTTTAGATGGATGAATATTTAAACAGGATTCTGCAAACAGCGACAAGAGGAGCCGACACTGGCAGCTACAGATGAGGCTGCAGACTGTAGTTTAGTTAGAAGTGTTACTCTCCAGCTAAACAAACTCACATGCCTTTACTTCAGCTCACAGCAAGAGCCCGGGAGCCTTCGCAGTCACATGCTCCGCCAGAGGCTGAGAACACGCTGGGGATCTCAACCCTGGAAAAATACTGTTACTTGCTGAGTCCTCACTGATTCAATTGGCAAATACATGGAGAGAAATTTAATCTGACAGTTATCTGTCTGTATATACAAAGACTATAGAGTCAACCTTGGGGTCTAAGCCTCCATAAGGAGTCACATGCCAGGATAGGAACGCAAACAGAACAGTTTGTTTCTAGAAAATCTGTTCCTTTCAGACTTTCTTCTAATCTTTCTTTTTTTTCCCTGTGAGAATAACTGGATGATTTTCAGGCATTTTTTAAAAGCGCATAAAAACTTACTTAGTTATGCAACGGGTTCTTCTGAACTCACATGTACATTCTGTTTTTACTTTTTCAGGAAACAAGATTTAAAAAAAACAAAAAAAAACACAGACATTTGAAACAACTGTATTAGACAGAGACATATGATGCAAGAAGAATAAATAAGAAACCTTTAAATATCTGGCAATACTCAGTAATTTGCAGGAACAAACAGTTAAGTTAGTGACAGACACTTCCCCACCAATTCCCTATTTCCTCTCTCTACACTTGTGAGTGCTGACAATGGCAGACTATTGTCTCAGTTTCACTCCCTCCTTTCTAGACTTAAAGGCACAAAAACACACCTCTAGTCAGGAGCCTTTTTCTCCTTTTTAGCCTGCAGACACTGGTGTGCTTTCCTGACACGCATATTTTTTACTGACCTGCTTCTTGGAAGTGTGGAGAGAAAATGAAACTCCCCCACCAAACAAAACGTGCAGGGAAAGAGTGTGAGGAAACCTGTGGACTGTTTGTGCCCAACACAAAGTCTGACAGGCAGGGTGGGTCACACTGAAGAAATTGGTTCACAGCTGGCTACATTAGCAAACATATCAGTGGGAGTCAACGTTGAAAGAGTTTTTAAAGCACAATTCATAGCCAGCATTGATAATTTGTCTATAACATGAAGTAAAAGGCACACACTGTGCATGTTTGCTGCACCCTGGATAATGACAGCGAAAGCTTGCGGGATTATCGATGTAGGCAGGGCAAAACGCCACACAGCGGCTAAGCTAGCTTGTTATTTAGCTTGCATTGCTAACTGAAAGGCTGAACAGGCGAAATAAACGCACAGGTGTGCACTTTAGCTGCCGAGGTTGACTGAATTAACCACAGGCGACATGAAGCAGGTAGGTATCGTGTTTTTGCTAGCCTGGCTGTTAGCAAGTTGTTAACCGAGTCGATACACGGGCCTGTCTTTACTTCCGACACACAAGACTGCTGCTGCAACACACGACACAAGCTGCAATCACACACATTCATACAAACACACACACACACACACAGGCTGATGTGTTAGCAGTGATGTAGAGGGGTTTGCAACGCCGCTGCTGGCTCTCAGTGTGGTTTCAGGTACCTGTTCAGATCACGCAGGACTCCTCATTCTGCTCTGTCGGACTGTCTGCTGATTTGTAAACAGTTGCGGGTCAGGCGGATGTGCTGAAGACCAGCTGACTGATCATGTGACTGGAGCTGAGGCTGACGATGCATGTAACCTGTGCTGCTGAAGAGTTATTAAGCTTTGCCCATTCACGAGTCTTTATAACATTGCAAAAATGGAATTAGACAAAGTTGTCAACTATCCACTCGGGATTGTTGTTACAGGTTGAGAAACTCTTGGGCTAGTCTACCTGCAGGAGGGCACATGCGTTAGTGTTTGTCAGTCATTCATAACTTCTTATTCTGTTTACATAACCCAAATCTGTAGTTAGCCTGTGTGTTTGATTCTCGTTTTGATGCATGTTTAGGCGAGTGGTGTGTGGATTCTCTGCGGCTCATTTCCAGGTTACACGTCAGACTCTGTGGTCAGACTGCATAGGACAACCTGATGAACTATGAGAAAGACAACGTGGAGCCAGATGAGGACCAAAATACACCAGTGAGATGTGTTATCTTGTCTTTTGTTCGTACAACCTGGTGACCCAAACTTGTTTAAATGAAGAATCTATTCACTACAGGGGTCTACATTTTTAGGGCATTCATTAGGGTATGCATCATGTTTTGGAGTAGTAGCTCATCAGGGCAAATGATCTTAAATCTTGCACTGTAGAGAAAACTTCATGGCCTCCATGTGCATCCAAGAGGGCATTGTTGCTGCCTTATTTTACTCGGATGCTTGTCTGGATCCTCCATTGGTTAGAAAAACTGCCTTATTAGAAAGTGGCAGATTTAAAAACTTTCTGATGCCAATTAGCAATATCAGGGCAAAAGTATAAAACTGTGCTTGTCTCACATAATTAATAGACTTATAGCTACACCCTGTTCCCTTAGCTTCTGGGCAAACAGGATGAATGTCTTCTGCACCATTCTCACCAGAAACCTACACTTGAATTTTGCACTGTCCCTCCTCTCAGTCATTTTAATCCTGTTAATTTAGGTTTGGAAATAACTCCAAACTAGTTTGGACAGCAGAGATAAAATCAATTAGGAGATTACAAATTGAATTGCAAATTTGTCTTCACACAATCTGCAGCACTCAAGGTCATTATTTGCATCGAATAAGGAGCAACATATTTCAGTTTCGAATAAAAAAAAAAAAGATTGTGTTAGGAATACATATAAACTAGAAAGAAGTAAATAAAGAATGCTGCTTTGGTAAGAGCATAAAGTTGTTGCAAATCACCTCACTGAGGAGATATAAAACACATCAGGAATAAACCAGAACACCAAATGGGCTCTGCAACACGAGGGTTAATTAACACCATTTTATGGAGACTTAATTGCAGCAATTTCTGAGGTCAGAAAAGTCAAGTTTATCTTGAGAGGGCTTTTATCAAACACCTTTTTTTACAAAGTGCTGCCCACAGACAAAACAATATCCAGAAAAAAATAAACCGAAGCAGCCAGATGGTAATGATAATAAGTTAATAAATAAATAAAACAGAGAGCATTTACAGGTAGTGACATTTAATAGCATTAATGATCCAAATGTGTGCAGTGGTTTGTGTGTCTGTGTGTATTTTTGTGCAGTAGTGGGGGTTTACACAAAGCATTCTTAATGACCATCATCAACATTACCATCATCATCATCAGAGACATGGCATTTCAGGAGCGCCATTATCATCATTATTATGGCTAATATTACTGATGATGAGGCTTTCATGGCCTCTTGTTGGCCCTGACTAAGGTATCACCATGGAAACGGATGTCAGAAAAGAGCATAGCTTTATTGAATTACTCTATAAAGCTATTCTTACCAAATGGGCCATGAGTGTTGCACTGTCTGTAGAGAGGAAGCAGAAATTTTTAAAAAAGTCCCGAGGAGAGATGAGTGAGATTGAGCTGCAGAAAAAAGAAAAAGAAAGAAAGAAATGAGACAGATGAAATAAAAGCGGAATAAAAAGAGACAGATGATAGGAAACAGTGGACGCACAGAGGGGCATGTGATTGTGAAGAGACACAGATCCACTGGTACTGGACGGCCTGCTTATCAGCACAGAGGAATACTGTCTGATGGCTGGAAACAATGAAAGTGATTCACCAACATGACCACAGTAAAATAATAAGAACTCATCAGTATTAACTCAGAAACATCTGTAGGAACAGTGAAAAGATTTATTAAATCTGTAATGGTTCTTTAAATGCATGGCTCTACTTGTCTTTAATCATGCAGGTTGATGAAGTAGCTTTGTTTCTTTCCAACATTGATGTTTTAAAGTTTATACCCAGAGCCCTGCAAAATTGTGATAAGCCTGCTGCTATTGTTTTACAGCCTGGCTTGATACACTATGCTAATGTGAAATCAAGCTTAGCATCTAGTAGCTAGCAGAGCCAATGTTAGCAGCAGCTTAGCTAGTAGCCCTCCTTCCCTTTAGTCTGCTTAAAAACATTTATTCCCTGACAATTAAAACATGAAACACTTTCACTTCAAGCTTTTCACTGAAAATATTCATCTTTAAAAAACGGGTTGCTCACACTTTGCTGACCTTGACACTTAATGCTAGCTCGTCTTTACCACTTTGCAACAGTAGCCGCTAATGGTCATAGTTTCTAGTATTGTTAATGTAGGCTTATGTTGTGGACAAGGAATAAGTAGGTCAATTTGTGGGGGGTGAGGGGGCGGTCGATAATCTGTGGGCTCAGACTGTTGCTTTGACTGGCATACTTAGCGATAACCTATTTGCCGGCAGTGTCATTCTGATACTGGTATCAACAGCAGAGGGAATCTACTTCCTAGCATGATCTCAAAGACTTCTTAAATACAATCCAAATATATTTGCTAACATGTTATAAAAGAGTAAAATCTCCATGCAGAAATTAAGCTTCTTAGGGAAAAACAAACTAAACTAAAGATAAACACAATCCCCTCCCGGCTATCTCCACCTCTGTATGTTCCCACAGTGTCCTATCACGAGGTTATAAACCTGACTTTCCTCATTCATCACAAGTTGCTGTTTTCACTGCCGAGAAAAGTTTCCACTTTCTACATGAATGAAATGTTGATCTGTTTAATTTCTGCCAAACTAAAACAACATGTAATATTAACTGCAGTTTAAAATGATCAGTCTAGTCTTCTTAGTTATCAAGACAGACACTTTTTTTTTTTATCTCACACAGACTTGACAATTGAGACCATGTAAAGAAATGAACATGAATACAATAAAGAAAGACTTTCTTTGTGAATAAAAGTGCATTCTTTTAATTTACACATTTCATGTGCACACTGCACAGCTTCAGTCTTATATTCTAGTCCACGATTTGTCTTTCAGGAAGAAACATTAAACATTGTGCACTCCATGTGAAACATAAAAGGGGAACAACTGAGTTCACTTTTTAGACATTTTATAACACTCAAATTATTGATGTTTCTGTCTCTGCTACAGTTTGTTTGGATGATTAATCATCACAAAAGGAAGACCACAACATGTTTCAACGTAACACTCAACCTCAAAGAACATACCTACTGTTGGGTGGGAGAATTAGAAATTCATGCATCAATAGAAATACTTAATTCAGGTGCATAACAAATATTGACAATGTGAATAAAGGGGAGAAATAGGAGCAGAACTGGACTGATTTGCAGGGGAGATGCTTGTAATACGTGTGTAGAAGTGTGGTAACACATCCAGTAATTCATCTATTGAGTAATCAAGAAATGCGGTGACATATTGAAGAGGATGTCGTATCATTTACTAAAAGGGTGATTTTGAAATGCTTTTTATTAGCTGCAAAAATGTCATCCAATTTCAAATCGAATCAGAAAGGCGTGATCTTCTCATAAGCTGTGACAAACAAACTTGAAGAACAAGGCCTTTGACCAAATCTCACCCCCCCCCCCATAAAAAAACAAAAACAAAGGCGATATTGATCATAAAAAACAGGAGGTGCCACTTTCCACAAGGCATTACTGGCATTAATCTCAAACTTCATCAATCAGCCAGCTATGATTGTAAGATTTCAGTAGTGATATGTAATCTGCAGCTTTTTTTACTGGGTCCCATTCATCCAGACATGAATCTACACAGGAACAATGTTTTATAAAGTTATCTGCACAGTTGTTTTCTGTCTCTCAATTACAGAAGGAATCCTCCAATCAAAAGACAGCTTTTTTTTAAGTATACTGTAGTTGAACTGTCTTTGTACAATATTTACAGTAGGTCAACTTTTTAGTCTTTAGATGTTGCTCTCTTGCTCCGCCTTGACGGATGGAATAGTTTGAGTCCCAGCATCTGATTCTTTTGAAATAGTTAATTCACTTCTGCATGTTTGTGTCTCCTCCTTTTCTTCTCTTTCAGTCTCTCCATCCCTTTCCTGCTCCTGCTCCTCTGTTCGTTCAGCAGTCTGTGCGAGGCTTTCCTGCTTGCCTTCACTGTGTTTAGGGCTCAGGCTGCTGTGTTGATGCTGCTCCTGGTCCTGGCTGTTGAAGAACCTTCGGATTGTGTGTTTGGGCAGACCCAGCTGAGCTGATAAGGTGTGGACCGCCTCCTCGTCTGGGTTGAGGCCCACATCCTGGATGAAGCTCTGCAGGATTCCTAGCGCCTCTTGGGACACTCTTAGCCCCTCCCCCTGGACCTCATCTCCTCCTTGAACTGAATTATCTGACTCTAAACACACCCTGGCCCCATCTTGGTCCTCATCCTTCGATCTGGACCACTTTATGGTAAATTTCTCCTCAACCCCATCCCCTTTTCCGTTTCCATTTATCTCACTTATTCCTACCTCACCTTCGTTTCCTTCCTTCACCAGCTCTTTGCCTTCAGTTCCTTTTTCCCTAAACCTTCCTGTACAACTCCAGTCCCCTCCGACCGTGCTCTTATCTCCTCGTCCCTCCTCAATGCACTCCTTACTGTTCCCTCTCTCACTATTACTACAGCTCCTGCCCTGATGACGCACTCTCATGTGCCCCCAGTTTCCCCCAGCCTCGGACTCGGCCGGTGATGCGGCACATGGTTGCTGTGGAGACAGGTAAGGGGCTGCCTCCGGCTGCAGGGGCTGATGGGGTTGAAGGTGGTGTTGAGGTGGTAGAGGAGAGTTGCGTTGGTACTGAGGAGGGAGAGACAGTAATTAGAAATAATATATAGGAAAAAAAAGTCTTACTGATTTAAATTACTAAAAGTGTTGTCAGTCTAGACAGTTTTTAGACTACTTTTTTACTAAACTGTCCTACAAAAAAAGGAACATTTAATTTTACTTGCAAATAATTGTATTGATGAAAACTAAATCCTTTCAAAAGAAACGGGTCTACAATTAACTTTACTGCTTAATAATATGTGCTTTGTGTTTTTAAAGACTCATTAAAATATATTTTAAAGAGAACTGGCATCACATTTTCTATTTCTAATTACAAATTAAAATGAAAAAGCTACGTTTTTGCATAGATTAGTAATGCTTGATTATTTCTCATAGGAGCTGAAAATGATGTCAGGGCCCACATTTAAGGCAGTTTCTTCCTGTGTTTGAGCTCACTTTGAAACGATGAATTTCTGAACATACACGGATAGATTCACTCTTACTGACTACAGAACTGATCAGAGCCAATATCAGAACATATAGTTCTTATGTCTTGTTTTTGACTTTTCATATTTGATGCTTAACTTTCCCAAACAAAGGGATGCAGAACTAGTTTTAGACATGTTATCTGTAAGTGTGCAATAATTTAGCCATTACTCCTCCATGCTCAAGCTATTGAAGTGAAATACATATCACTTTGGAACCTTAAAGTCTATTGCTTATAATTATTATCATGTCCTATTTTTGCATTTGGCTGCCAGTTGTATTTTTTTTCCAGTGCATGCCCTTGAAAGTTACAATGGCATTGAATCTGGTTCTATAACTTTAAATATCAAGTGTCTTATATAGTGTGCTTTGCAAACATGCCTCTTCTCATTCTTTGTCAATGTATTCTAAAGTGATGCTGCTATGGCGTGGGACTTGCATGATTGCATGTCATCATATTGTGTTGATCTTGTTTCCTATTGTCTCACCAGTGCGTTGTCGTTGCTGAGCAGTGCAAGTCTGTCACTGCAGTGCTGCTGTGCAGTTGTGTTGCTGCTCTCCTGCTCGTAGATGGCGTCTCGTTCTGTCTGCGGCAGGCTGAGGAAGCGGCGGATCATGCACAGGTTCTCCCACAGGGTCCGGTTCTCTGGGCTGGGATCCTCCTTCCAACGCAGCAGCTCACACAGCCAGCCCTGCAAGAGGAACGGTAACACTTTACTTTAATGTTAAACATTTAGCGTCAGAAGCTTAGATTTCTTTTTTAATAAATTGATTTTAGCCATCTGTAGTGTTGTTTAAACATATACAGATTCACTTTTCTAACAACTCTGCAAGAAAAGGCATAGAGAAATGTGATTCCTACTGTATGTGATCAATTATAATGTTTCAACATATCAACAATGCCGTTCGGCTGCCTAATGTCCTGCTTAATTGCCTATATCTAATAAACTAACCATAAGCTATGCTAATCAAGTCAATATTCTGTTAATTAGTTCATTCATTATTTAATTTTTCTAGATCAACAAGCTCATCTTGCTGTACCTCAGAGGATCTATACACTTGTGTATTTCTCCTGAGATAAGAGTCAGTTAGGAAGAATTCATTTTTTATTCTCATACCCCTGCATGCAGTTTGGTGTTATTTGAGCGCTAAGCTAAGCTAACTCAAGCTTCTTGATGTCTATGGAAACAATGACATGTTTATCTATTTTTCTTGGCTGTGGAAGCATGTTCACAGGAATAAATATAAATAAATAATGTTGAATATTAAAGAAGGAATTTTGTGGAATATGTAGTCTCAATAGACCGCGCATACTTCTATATCGAAGCTAAGCTTATCTCTACTCATTATGCAATATCTCTTAAAGCAGCATGCACAAACAAAAGAAACTGTCTGGCATTAAGGATGGGACTGAAGGAAAATGTAAAAAAATTGCAGTATGTTCAACAAAGTCAGAAAATGTATGCTGCATTCTTCTTAAACATCTAATAATTCCTCAGTGTGAACCTCCGGCATAAGGCTCACATGGATGTGGGACATCAAAATTGCCATGCCAACTTTGTGAATCAATATAAGTTTTGAAAGATGTCAGCCACATACGCCCACTCTCCTGTTATAGTTGTCACTCTGAATTCACTATTCATTTCCAACTATCTTCTTCTATCCAACATGGCCTCTTGTTTTAAATCTGTTTTTTTCCTAAGTCTCTTTCTTTTCTTCTAGTTTGCTCTTCATGTACAACCATAAAATAACAGTTTTGAGCATCCTCTAATCGAAAAGGCCAAAGATGATGGAGAGATTTTCTAATTAGCTTGAATTACGCCCTGCATCAGGAGGGAAGAAACTTGCAAGTGGCAGACTGACAAATGTAAAGCCGAGCTAGTTTCTGATTCATGAACTGGAGCATGATTACGTTTGCACGCAGGCTGATGCACACACACACACACACACACACACACACACACACACACACACACACACACACACACACACACACACACACACACACACACACACAGATTCGCATAAGCACACCTGGCTATAACCCAAGTCTAACACACAATGCCATCCAGATGCACAGTGCAGATAGAACAGAGGGATCCAGCACGGTTCTGCTTGCCAAACAGCCGGGTAATATGAGGAAAGAGAGAGAGAGAGAGAGAGAGAGAGAGTGAGTGAGTGAGTGAGAGAGAGAACTTCAGGAAAAATGAAGGTTAAAGAGAGGCCAGTGAAGAAGAGATAGAAACATCCCTCAGGGGGTTTGGACCACCTGTCTGTACTGGCATGACCGCTGAATGACCTCCAAACATCTTCATGGTTGGAGGGAAAAAAAGCAAGACAGAAACAAAGAAAGAAAGAAAGACATAGAGAGAGAAAGAAAGAAATAAACCATAAGAGAAAGAAAGAAAAAGGGTGAAAATTGGAGACATGCACGAGAGGAAGAGAAAATGAGACAGCTAAAATCCCCCCATTCCATGAAGGGAAATTATCCTCAAAACAAAAGGCAATAACAAGCTTATGGGGCCGCCATAAAAATGGGAACAATAAACACTCAAATCATGTGTGTATTAGTGCATCTGTGTGTGTTTGTAGGCTATTGCATGAATGCATTTACTTGTACAGAATGTCTATGTGCACAAATAAGTGGTGTGTATGTGTGAGTGTGCGTGTGTTTTTGTATGGTGACTATTAAAGCGATAATTTAGGACACAATAGCAGTCTGATGCACTGATGATAGTCCTCTGCAGAGTACAGCTGCTGGTTGATTATCTGGGCTTTCCTCCACACACAGACAAACACACACACACACACACACACATACACAAGCGCACACAAACACACTATGGAGATGTATTCATCATGGAACCAAAATTTGAATTTTTAAGCAGTAGAAAGGATTGGGTGCAATATGTGCATGTTTAGGATAGAGCATCTTCATCCGATTCACACCAGCAAGCAAGCAAGTACCTGACTCTTGGAGGCAGCCACCTTTGCGAACAGAGCCTGAGACACTTTGGCTCTCTTCATCTCGTGCTGAATCTCCTCGTAGATAGAAGCGCTCACGTTGAGAACACAACTGTCTGTCCTTATACTTCTGTCTCCTGCAACTGGGGACAGTCTCGCCTGAAAACAGCCGAACAATAACACAGAAAAACAAGAGAATTGGATTTGAATGCTAGCCAGAGTTAGCATCTAAGTATTTGGAATTTGCAACCAAGTGAAATGACATCCAAGCAGAGCAAAGACGAGGTGCCTCATCAATCAAACCCACATTAAAAGAAGCTCTCTTTTAAGAACGACTAAAGGGAAAGCCAGTGAGGGATTGTGTCCTTTATGAGCTAAAGCTTAACATCCTTACTTAGGTGTTATTTCTTGGAGACGGCATGAACCAATGCACATGTTACTTCCTCCCTGGCTGGGGAAGCAGCTGGCAACCTGATGTAGGATATTAGAGGAAACATGTGGCAGTCTGCTCCCTCTCCAGGCCGACAGAGGGGAGTCAGCAGTGCGGTGCATGAGGAGCTGGCCGTACCAGATTGGGAGTAAATGGGGGGAAAGAACTGTAGATGAAAAAGATGATGAAAACTAAGCTACGGGGGAGGATGTAATAAACACATGGCTTGAGGAAGCTGTGCAAGTATTTTATATATAATCGGTCCTGCTCTGTGGTGTAAATAAAGGATAGAAGTGAAGAGAAAAATTCATCTACATGTATGTCTCAAATATTGGCTAGTAGGTTATCAATCCCAATCGTTCCATTTGTTGATTTGCTGAAAGCTCCTGTGAAGAGTTTTGTAGCTGGTAATGAAACCAACCAAAATTACTATTGATGTGTCTTTATGAACAATAAAGCAAACTAAACCACCAGAGACAAGATTGATTACTTCTATATTAAAATGTTTAATGCCTATCCCCCATGCTATGGGCTGCTGTTTGTTAGCAGGAAAAGAAAAGAAAAGCATGCTGCTGAAACAGCCATTTAAAAAAATTTCCACAGCAAAAATGATTGTTGAGATGCATCTGACAGGATGAGATTTTCCATTTAATACTACTTCCACATGGACAGGACAAAATCAGGAACGAGACCAGACTTGCCACTTGTGGACAGAGGTCAACAGTGCACTAAATGCTAGCTTCAGGATGCTACCAAGCTTACGTACTGTTGTCTAACATGTAAAATATTAGCCAAAACCTAGCATCATAGTAAAGCATGCTAGTGTAGTAACTTTAGCTATCAAGTAAACCTGAGGCTGTTGGGAATGTTACTCACTTTGTAGTTATTTGGTCAAATTTGAATTTTGAAGTGATGATGCCTTTGGGTGCTAAAGGATCGTAAATGACTGTAGCAAACTTCCTGGCAATGTGTTGGTACATGTTTTGAAAGATTCACTCCAAACCACAAATGCCTCCTGGTTGAACGTCTGTGAGCTTCAAACGTGATCATTTGAGGATTTGTGTTTCTTTTTTCAGTCTTTAACTTAGTAAGCCTGTGTCGTCCATGTATTCTGGCCCTTTAAGGACGGTCTCTTACAACCAAGCATATGCAATCTGATACTTTAGATTTAGTTTAGGCATACATCAGTGATTTTATTATCCTAAGCTTAATAATAGTTACCCCTATTCAATATTTCAATTAAATTAAGCAAAATAAATAATACAAATCATTCTAAAGTAGCCATTTCTCTCTTCTTGTCCCTCTCTCTCTCCCTCTCTGATTACTTGCAGGCTGACCTGTGTAGGTCTTGGTGGCGTGTTGTTGCAGCTGGGGGTGAATCCAGTCAGGCTCCTGTCTTTCTCCTCCTGGTAGATCCGCTCCCTCTCGGCTTCAGGCAGCTGCAGAAAGCTGTACATGGCTCGCAGGTTTACCAGAAGAGACTGAGAGGCGTGCTTAGGATCTTCCTCCTTCCGCAGGATCTCAGACAACAAGCCCTGGTATTTTTTTTTGGTAAAAACACTAGTAAATTCTTAGTCAATAATGAAATGCTTTTCACATAAAGGTGGTATATTTAAAGTTTCCTATACGTCTGAAGAATTGAACAATAGCTGCTTCATCGCTCTCATTCTAACAGTTAACTTGTGGTTTAGTGTTGCCAGGCTTTACAAGATACAGAGCCAGTTCTCAGTCACTTCTGAGCGCTCTTCTCGTCTGTCAAGCTCGCATTATTGGAGCTTTATTTGAGAAAAGTCTTCAAACATCTCATGCAGATTGTAGGGATTCAATCCTAAAAAGAAATCAGATTTTACGCTGGAAGAGGAAAAAGGGGGAAACAGCCTTCTTATTCAAATCATGGATCATCTTTAGATACTCGCTAACTCCCCCTTTCAACTTGAAGGAGGCTTTACATGAATCGCTAAATGATAAATGCTTCTATCAAGTCTATGTGGCAGGTTGGCATCATGCCCGATTTGTACGGCTGGCACTGAGGCACCTTGGACTTGGCAACGGGGGGAACACAGGGATGGATAATAACTACCTCTGCTTATTGTGATGAAAATGATAATGGCGGTAATAATAATAATAACAATGGCCTGTCTTCTGAGCCCCATTTCTGTGGGTGGCGTGGTGAATGCAAGATGATGGACACAGATAAAGTGGCAGTTCAGTCAGGTAGATATGGATACTAAATAAGGGGAATAATACAAAAAGAAAGATCAGAGCAGGAGATTAAAAGTCTAAAAAGGGTTGTCAGGGTGAACAGTAGTGAGCTGGAGGGACAGTAAGATAGAGAAAAAGGTGGAGAGGGAGACAACATTTCTCCAAGGGGTTGTGATTAGTTGGCCTAGCAGCTGCTTCAGTGTTGGCAACAGCTTTGTGCTGCAGAGAGCTGGCACACACACACACACACACACACACACACACACACAAACATACACACATGCATGGGGGGAAGGGGGCACTGCGGCAAAGGCCATGCCAATGTGCCAACCATGAAATACACACAATCACAGGACACATTTACGAACAACCAAAGCACCAGAAAACACTTCCAACAGATAATTGCTAGCAAACATTTCCCACCTCTTTGTGTTCCATACCTGGGTCCTGTTAAATGCAACTCGAGCAAAGATGGCTTGAGAGATGCCCGCTCTCTTCAGCTCCTCCCTCACACAGTGGTAGATGTCACTTGTCACGTCTGTTAGCCCCACGGAGGACCCGGCTGATGTATGGATTTGTGGTCCGGGTGCAGGCCTCCTCCGGGGCCACAGTGTGCCTGTTGCGGGGCTTGAGATTCAGGTGGATGGGAGAAGACCTTAGGAGGTGCCCTCCCTACAGGCGGATGATTGAGATACTGCTGTGGGGGCGATGGGTGACCCTGCCCGGCTAGCATGCGGCTAACAGCGTACTGCTGGTTGAGAAACTGGGCCATCACTAGCTGCTGGTTGACCATTTGAGAGCTGAGCGGTTGGGTCACTAAGCTGTGAGGGCGCAGGCCAAGGGGGGAACGGCCACATATGTTGGCTACTTCTCCACGAGAGAAAAGAAGGGTGGAGCTCTGCTCGGCTGGGCTACTTGTGATTGGTTGCTGGGTCAGGGTGACGTGCGTGGACTGTTCAGAGAAGTTGTCAATATCTGGTGCAGAAAAGAGAAAACATTCATATGAGTATCAAAACACCAACTGGAGTATGAAATATTTTTACTCTAGAAAAAGTGACAAAAATGTATACCGGTACTTAAACCAGACAGCATTATGCCTTAAACAGTTTACTGTCGTTTTTTTTTTTTTATCATAGTACTGAAGTTGGAATTTATTCCGCTAAAATTCATTAATTCATTGTTTAATCCATCATGAGCACAGCGCTAAGCAACATTTAGTAGTGTTCACATTAGAGTTCACCAAAGCCAACTCATAATCATTAGCAAGAAATGTACGACTTTTCTATCACTGCTCATGAATAGGAAGTGTTTCTATGCCAGTCGTTGCATTCCGTTAACTAATGAGTCAGCAAATATATAGTTGTAGCTTGAATCTTGCCCAAATATCTTCCAGTGTCTTTATGGCCCGTTGTCTTTTCTGTGGCTGATGGATTGGGAAGCGATGAAATGCTAACCAGATGCCAGACTGAATACAGCAAAATATTTTTTCAATGAAAGCATTCTAGCTTTCGACCCTGAGCTTGATGTCAGAGGAAAATGGCTTCTGTAGGAACGTTTTATAATTTTACTGTAAGAATTAAATATTTTTTCCAACAAGATAGGTAGTATAAGACTTACTAATAGTGAATGCTATAACAGCTATCAGGCACACTCATTGTTGCAGGCTTGTTAGAAACCCCTCACCCTTGAAGCTTTTGGTCCTCCTGAAGTGCTTGTACCATCGACCGAACTCGTGACACTTGGCAGCTGAGACGTTTGCATAGTAAGTACTATTTACAATAGATGATATCATACTCTGAAACAGAGGGAGGAAAGACAATAGAAATTCATTACGTTTTCCCAGCTTCTGCTATGGGCGGCTGGGGTGGCTCAGCTGTTCACACATCTGATATTAATGAACTTAGATCTGTGTTATTAAAAAGACCCCCAGGTAAATAAGATAATAAAGACAGATGAGTGTGTCCGTGTGTGAGAGCTCTGTGTGTGTGTGTGTGTGTGTGTGTGTGTGTGTGTGTGTGTGTGTGTGTGTGTGTGTTTACAACATGTGGAGGCACATTTGTGTTTGTGCATGCATGTGTGTGTAATAAAATAGAAAAACACACACACACACGAGGTCATCAGAGACTATGCTGCTCTGTCTGTCTCACTCACACACACACACACACACACACACACACACACACACACACACACAAGTGCACACAAAAACACACAGGCACAGCTTCTCCCCAAAGACCGTCCTGTGCAATCTTTACATCTGATTACACCTTTCATCTTCTCATATTTATTTTAATCTGCTCCTCGCGAACAACAGAGGGGGTAATGGGAGTGATAGGAGAGAGAGAGAGAGAGAGAGAGAGAGAGAGAGAGATGGGGGAGGGACAATTGTTTTGTGTCAGATTAGGGAGAGATAGTGAGAATTTCTCTTTATCAAACTGTAGATGTCCTATGCTGCCTTCGGCAAACAAAGAGACAGACTAAGTTGATAATTATGAATATTCACAAAGAGGCCCTCCCCAAATACTGCAACATTAATGTAATATTATTCCTGCAGTTGTGTCTCTGTTTGCTTGATTAAACACACTGGATTGGAAGGAGATCTTAAAACCAGATTTGGATGATATTGCTGAATCAGTCAAGAGGGCAGGAAAAGAAAAAAATGGCGATAGGCAGATGGAGCAAGTGAGAGTAAGACGGCGGGCGAGGCCGACAGGCGGACAGACGGATACATTGACAGGCAGACAGGTCGGCAGGGAGAAAAGAATCAAGATAGGCAGCACCCCTAGGCGGTGGGGCTTTTTAAGAGATAGCCATCTCTCGTTATCTGTGTCTCCCGCTCTCACTCTGCCCCCACACCTTATCTCCCGCTGCATCTGGACTTCCTGTCAAACTATTGGACCACACGCTCACTCTGCCTCATGCGTCAAACATACACACACACACACACAAACACACACACACACAAGAACACGCAGCAGGACATGGAAGGGCAAAGACATTAAAGGCACACTTTGAACCTTAGCAGGAATTGATTCTCTCTGTGTATGCATGCTCTGTCTTTGGATGTATGCTGTGTGTTCGTATGTGTGTGTGTGTCTTTGTGTTGTACCTGGGACAGTGGGCACTCCTTAGCTAGGGTGCTCTGGTTCATGTCCTTGAGGAGTTCCTTCAAAGCATTTCTCACTGTAGAGTGACTCCACTGCTCTGCGGGCAAGTCCTCCAATTTGGGACAACTAGACAAAGAGCACATTTAAAACACTCAATTGCAGCATTCTTAAGTCGTACAGTATGAAGGGAAACACGGGGAATCTTCTAAAAATAAAGTTCAATAACAATCAACAACCTTACTTTCAGCTTCTTCCACTACAACTTAATCTCAGGAAAATTACAGAGTGCCATAAAGTCACATGCTTAATGGCATCTTCCAGTGATTACTTTTCCAGACCCTGATGACATATTTAGGGCTAAAAAGGTTACATTTACGACCAGAGAAGACATACGCCTCTTTCAAACGTGAGCTTTTGACCTTTTCTAGATAATTTGGGACAGTCAGGCCCTAACCTCTTCAGGAACTTGCCTTTCAAACACAACGAATTACTCCGTTTGGTTTAGGTGGGGCACTAGATAGCATGTGCAGGAGAAGGATGATAAGGCCGGCGACTGCTTTTGTCTTATGTCACCACTACATGAAAACACAACAGTTTAAAAGAATATACAGATCATTGAGGTGAGCAGCCAAGAGTATACAGCGGCGAAACTTCACTCAACGACAAACATGTCAACAATCCTGCAGCTGACCCAGACAATGTTGGAAAATGTTCAGGAGTGCAGCGCATGTGTGAAAGGGGCTTTACAGTACTCTGTTTGACAATTGTGATGGCTAAACTGAACTTCATGGTGACAGTGCCTTTAATAACAAGATATCCCTTAAGTGTCCCTAGACATGAATGAATCTCCCAGCATGCACTTGGTGATGTGCAGGCAGGATCCCAAACAAGTTTTCAGTATGAGGGTGTTAATGAAAAATAAAATTAAAGGTTTTTTAGAGAATTGGCTCTATATTTCGCAAAACATTACAGGTGCAAAAACGTACATTTAAAGATATCTGAGTTCCATTGAGCTGTTTGCGTTAAGCTATGTATTTCTATGACAACAAAATATCTGCTTTTGCGTATAAACACTCAGATTTGTATCTTGTAATACAAAATAAGTTATTCAGTCTTAAATAGAATTGTGGATCAAATTTGGCATCGCTAAAGCCCCTCTGTCAAAAAGTGAAAAGAACCTTTATTATTGAAACATGTTACAGGAAATAACTTTTAATGTCTCCCTCCATTAAAATACGCATCAATATTCATTGCAACAAGCATATAAAATCACTCATTAAACTTTATCTGATGGCATTTAAACTGTCACAAAGTAAGATTTTGATCATACTTTGCAGGAGACTGCCGAACAGATTTGATTTACAGTTTACTGTAATAGAGGTTTGATTTGGTCTGTGCCACTTGGTAAGTTTATTTCCTCAATGAGGGATGGTGGATGGCTTGAAAACCTGAACGAAGTTGTAAATATAGACAGGGTCTCACCTGTGCAGCTGGATTTTAAGGGTGATAATATGGTGAACATCCTGCAGCATATCCGCCACTGTGGCATCAGGAGCATCTGTTACACAGGACAGAGGCACAGGGTTCCACCTGCCCACCTGGATCAGACCTGAACATGTAAACACTGAAGTGAATAGACTGAAAAAGACACACTGGTGTCCTTACCTCTTTTTTTATTTTTACAAGTTTATGTATTTTACCTTTGGCCTGTGCGGCGGAGCTGTGCGAGTAACCGAGCGTCAGCAGGGCCATCTCTATCAGCTGGTTAAACAGCAGGTCTCTTTTGACCAACACAAACTCAGCGTGTTCTTCTCTCCTCTCTCTTTCCGGAGCGATCTCCTTGTGCTCCACCACGCAGAACACAGGCAGCAGACTCCCTGAGGTGATGGACACAAATGAGGAGAAACGACCCACGCTAAGAGGAATTAAAAAAATGTTATGTTGTTCATTAATGCACTTATTGGTTATAGTTCCAAACCTGCTATATTCTTGAAACATTTTCATCCCCCCCAAAATGAACCCAAGTCAGTAATAAGACATATCAGATGGCATGTAGGCGTCATAATCGCTGTACTAAAGACCCAATTTGTAACACAATGTTTCCAGTAAGTGTAATTAAAAAATCTTTTTGGTGAAAAACTTCCTACCTTTGGTGTGCCAGCTCTTGCTCTGTGGCCTCACTGCTGTGGGCTTCTGGGCCAGGCCGAGGTTTTTGGCCACGGGGCTCCCCTGCCTGCTTCTCTCCTGGGCAGAGGGTCCCGCTCCGTTATACTCCAGTCTAGCCAGCTTGGCAGGCGGAGGCTGGGGGTCTAAAAGGGGATCTGCGCCCTCAGGTTTCTTTGCTCCATTACACAGGACATCCATCTGTTGTTTTGCACTATTACAGAGACAGACATGCTGAAAATTCAAACACAGTGGCAGTAAATCTCTCCTTCATATCAGCACAAACAGCTTCTTGTACTGCTAAGCGGATATCATATTTAAGTGACTTCTCCCAGAGAAATGTAATGTCATATTTTCATTGGTGAAGAATAGGCTACATAGAGAATGTCAATAATTAAAACATGAGCATAGCAGAAGTCAATTTGGATACTTGGTGAGAGACTGTAAATAAGGCTTTTCCTTCATGTACTGACTCTTAATATCAGAAAACACATACACACACACTCAGATCTGAAGGATATCCGGGTCAGTAAAAGGGGGTGACCTTCACCCACATGTAGCGAAGAGGATAACCCTCTAAATCCAGTAAAAGTCCAGTGAACGACGGAGCGCAGTTTCCCAGCCTGCTGTCATCTCCAGGCGCGTAACACTGACTCAGTTCATCTTCTTCAGCACCGTAATGCGCGCCGATCGTCCCACGTCTGATCAGGCTGAAGTTTGATCGAGGAGAAACCAACCTGTTTCAGTCCGCACACCGTGCATGTCCAACCTGCCATCATACATTAGCATTCCGCCTGTACCCCATGTGTTAATCTCGCTTCCATCGAGCTCCAGAAACGCGTCTCATCGCCGTCAGTGCTCGTCCGTTTACTCACTTGGATCGCCTCTCAAACATCAACATTACCTCGTGTTTGCAGTCGCATTAGTATTGTGTCTGTAGGCTGCCTCCTATTCTCCAGCCGCGCTTCGCTTTCCGGTGCAACGATAAATTTGGCCTCAGTGCAAGTTCAAGAGCCGAGCTCCCGTCCACAGCATCGGGACTGAGGATCAGCTGTTACCGTGGGTCGGGCTCCAGAGAGAACAATACGCGGCTCTGAGCTCCTGTAGTGCATTCCCTATCATACACGAGGCTACAGCAGTGACTCCGGGACAGCACTTCAAAGCCCTATGCGCACGCAAAGAGAGAAAGCGAGCGAGCGAGCGAGCGAGCGAGAGAGAGAGAGAGAGAGAGAGAGAGAGAGAGAGAGAAACACACACACACACACACACACACACTCACACACACTCACACACATACACATACTCATAAATACGTGGACCCAGCTGCATTAGCATATGGTGTAATAATGAATTCACTAGCGCGCTCCGTAAATGTATTAAATGTGACAATTGCGCATAAATCTATTTATTATTTTCCGCCGCATGCTGTGCACGCACTTATTATTGTCTTTAGGGTATTGGAGCTCTCCATGGTAACAAAGTGGAGCAGCACGAGGAGAACTGGCTGATATTAACTTTTGAACGATGAGGTTAAATCCTCACTCGAGTTTTTTTTTTTTTTTTTGAAGATGCAGTTAATAACACTTTTTAGCCTAATCACTGCCACCAAGATCAACTTTATCCATCACAATTACACAAGCATTAGGCACAACGATAAAAGCAACCCAAAAAACAGGATGTATTTTGTACATTATGTTGAATCAGTATGCTTTGTATCAGTACATTGTCTTATAGTGTTGTATAAAGTTTAGTTTTGTATGCTATAGTATAGTAGACAGTAAAGGATATAGAGTGTTCAGACCATACTAAATTTAAGACTACTATACTACATTATATTATGTTGTACTGGTGTTATAGAGTGCTACTATAGTATGTACATTCTAGTCTGAGCATGTATGAGAGCTGTTTAGTATAGCATAGAACAATTACGTGTCAAATATAGTACAGTATAAAGAGATACGTTTGTCAAATCTGCCTGATATAAAAGACATACAGAGGATTCAAATGCTGCTTTCCCAGGCCACAGTGTAACCGAAGGACAACAAACAACAGACATAATGATAATAATAATAATAATAAAAGACCAAAGTGCAACTTGTCAGGGGACAAATATAGAAGCATTCAAAACTGCAGCAGTTGTGTTTGAGATATTGTTAATATGCACAGTATATTATGCTATACAGCAGCACTATGAAAGAGTAAAATATACATTATGATTATATAGATTAGTACTCTATACTTTACTATACACCATAGTTTCATATGCTATGTATTATGTTTGTAAGGGCCTATATAGTATTGATATCATAGCAAATCATTACATAGTGTTGTGTTGTATTCAGTAAAGAATATTGTAGAAGTATATACAATAGAGTTTAGTTACCCTTACTGTATTTGACTTTGCTTAACTATGCTGGGTTTAAACAACAGGTTATCATTTGACTCTTAAAGTAAATCCCTAAATTCCACTTTGAAATGTCTAAGAACAGCACCCAAGGAAAGAAAAGTGCATGAAAGGAAACATTTTTTTTATCTGAGTACCTTAAGAGTTTGGATCAGGCTGAATCAGCTGGCATAGAGAACGTCTTTTGTCCTGTTTGCGGAATCCTGAAGTTGCGACCAAGTGCCAGCAGACGTCCTCTGTTCAGTCACTGGAAGACGAGCTGCACCTCTGGAGCTGAGATCACTAAATGCTGCCTGAAATCTCTGAGAAGGTAACACCAAGCCAAGTGTGGTCTGCGTCTGTGTGTGAGTGTGTGTGTGTGTGCTGTGTGTGCTGTGAGAGGCAGAAGGAGACCAGAAGAGTCACAAGTCCTTCATTGTCGCAAAGATCCACAGACTTGCCCCATTGAAACGTTCCACCGATGTGGTAACAGGTCTGTGTTCTCTACAGAGAGAACGGGCACAGGGATGGGTGGATGTTGTGCAATAAGAGAGTCTGTTTGGGGAGAGTGAGCATGCTCTACTACTTTTGACTAATTAAACAAAGTGAATTAGCTATCTCCCCAGCCAGAACGAGCCACGGCTGGTTACACATCATTCATCGTGACTAATTCGGAGAGAGACGTGTCACTCAGCTGGATGGAAATGTGTGTGTGTGCATGTGTGTAACTTCAATTGCACCACTGGGTACGCTGCTGTGTAAGTTCACAGTTTTGTGAGTGTGTTTAGAGATATATAGAACTCCTTGTGTGTGTGCTTGTACCTTTAGGTGTTGATTTATTTATTTATTTCTCTCTCTCCGGCTGTCACCCTCTGCTCTACTATTTTATCAGTGGCTTGATACATCGTCATTGAGGCTGGCATGCTAAATGATAATTAAGACCATTACACGCTCACAGAGCACACTACCAGTGCAGCACAGCAGCTCCCTCGATCGCAGCCTCATCTCAAGGGACACCCTACTACTCACACAGTCGTGTATCTCTCCAAATTAGGTTAGATTTTCATTCCACCTCATTCGCCGTGGATGTGATGTGGTTATTATAAACTCATGATATGGTTAGTGAGCCTGCTGCCATTAGATGGGTGGAGGCATCATGTTGGAGCGTTAAAAGGGGAAATGGATTGCCAACACTCTGAACCGCAAATCTCCTTTTCTTTTGCTCGGGCACACTTGTGTCCTGAAGTATTTTGTTGCAGACAAACACTTCAAAATCTGATACACACTATGTAATGCAAAACACACAGACACTCCCAGATGACTGATAAGATGTCTTCAACAATACATCCCGCCTTAAAACACACACGACCCATCGTGAACTCGCACATCTCTGTGTACATCATTCAAAAGAACTTTGAAGACATGTCAACATAATGAAATAGTCTGAAAGTAAATGTGCTTTACTTTTATCTACTAAACTTCTTTGGCATTTCATTAAAGGGATTGATTTTACTTTTATGAAGGTGTTTCTTGATGGTGTCCATTATGAAACTTTTAGATATGAGCCTAGTAGTTTTAAGCGGTTCCACCTGATTGAAGTTTAAAAATACCAGCCACCAGCCACCCCTACATTTATTTTGTGGCCCATTAAAGAAGGTCCAAACCAAATGTTAGAAACCAGTAGACATTATTAACATACTGTATATTAAGTTATAAAGCTAGTTCAATTTACTCCAACTCCTTTCTTCTTCACACATCCTTAATAGTAATCCAATCCAACCATGCTATTTTTGATAATAGACTAACAAAGTCCTGACTTTCTTTTCGTTTTGATACTCTAAGTATGCTTTACTGATGTGCTTTTACTTGAATCATCACTTAAAAGTACTTTAGGGTGTTTGTGAACTGGGTTTGAAACCGACTCAATTCAATACTGATGCCTCTATATGACCTACAAAAGCAAACCAGGCCATCAGCTACAAGATAGACTACATCTATAAAGTTATTTTTAATCCCTGTCACGCTGACACAAGGTCAGATTCTGAGGAAATTTACAGTTTGCAGACTGAAAAAGCCTTAAGTACAAAGTAGTAGAAGTAGTAGATGAGATTACAACACTATACACACACATTTTCTTTAACAAGGCTGGAAAAAAAAATCCACATTAAAATTAAAGTCTTATATCTGCTTTATTCTGAGTGCCGTTTTTTTTCCTTTAAAAATGTAAATTATTTCTTCTAAATTCAAAAATATGAGCGCCACCTCTGTGCTTGTCATGTTTTTAACCTGAAACACACAAACCCAGAAACCTCTCACTACAGTCAAATAAAATATCCATACAATAATCTTATCGCTGACATTGTTCCAGAGCTGGGTTTGAAGACAGCTGTGTCTGCTCAGGTTTCTCCTGATCTGGGGCTCCTTGGCCTGATAATGTACCAATGCAGATATCAGATATAACAGGATGAGAATAACTTAGCTCCAGGTTAAGGTCATCTACTGTATGACAAAAAAGGTCTGAGTCTGATTGCATACCTTCAGATTTCCGATGAGATTGGGTCATTGTTTGACATACAACCGACAAAACAGAATGAACCTTCTAAAGATACAAGAAAGGAATACTAAAGGGGCATTATGACATGTGACATACTGCCTTTTAATTAGGGCTTGTGCAGTACTAGTGTACAGCAGTTTGTGTGGGTGGGTGGAAGTGACTGTGTGCACATATAATATGAGCTATTAGCTTTGTGAAAATAGAAGCAATGTATAGCTTTCACAGCTTCATGTACTTCTGAGATAATCCCAAGAGTATAGTTGTCTTTGCATTGCAGAACGAAAGACATGCAGAATAAAAAATGCATGACTTTGTGTTATAGAGACAAGAGAGCAGATTAGATCAAAGTTTACTTTAGACCGTTTCATATTTATGAACTGGCACTAAGGTTGTTTAAATTAAAACTAAAATGAATGATTGATGCACATGAAGGTCTTTTTTCTGTAATTCAGATCATTTGTTTCTGTTAAAGCTCCTACGTGCACAATTTCAAGGTTTCTTTGGCGCCTCCTAGTGGTAGCATGAAAACACAACATCTTTTATTTGGATTGTCTCGTTTCTCTTCCAACACAAAAATGATGCTTTTACGGTGATTATAGATTTTTAGTATATTCACATGATTCCTTAGGTAGGAACTTTAAGTGACACTATCTGCAGTCTTATAACTCAGTAAAGCTTCATCTACTACACCGCCACATTCCCTTTAGATGGTGGTTAGTTCTCTACAATGATACTGAATCTAACTTCTGTTATCTTATCTATCATCTTTGAAACCAGAATTCAACTTTTTATTGAGCAGAGAAACATAAATAGTTATTTCCATGTCTTTCTATATGTTGTTTAAAACTCTAGTTTTGACCTGATTTAACTTTCTATTCTTTAACGTGAAAAAAAGAATCTTTAAATAATAGTGCCTTTGTTCCTTTCTTTGTTTTTTTAATGCACGTTGTCATAATTGTTGTATGAGGTGCGTTGCAGCCTTTCTTTAAAACAGCTCTAGAAATAAACAGGTGATGATAGTAATGGTAAGGATGTGACGATGGGGATTTTTTAAAATCGCGGCTTGTTTAGAAAACGTAAAAAATGTTGGATTCCCATTCTTGTTTAGTTTCTGTGTTGGTTCTTTTCAGGGTTAACATTATACAGTATATCAACATCATATACCTTCTACTGATGTATGTTCTCTATCTGGGGATTACACCCGTGCACAGCCTTTTCCTAAATATATTTATTTTTCTTCCTGCGCAAATTGTTAAGAATTGTTCACAAAAGATTTCATCAGACATCTTATGTAGACTTGCTCACGGAGTTAACTGAGTGATTATTGAAAGATGTGAGTCAAGTGATCATAATGTATGCAGGCTCTAATAAAGCTGGTTTAGAGGGAACACTGTGATGAACAATGACTCACTTTAACTCCACTGTCACTTCACTACGACCTCCTCTATGACACTGTCTCACACACACACACACACACAGCATGTGTGTTCAGAGCGGTGATCAGGCTTAAATGATGCATTAAGCTCTTGATTACTCAGGCGATCCACCGATGTGTGTTGGCTGTCTGTTTTAATTTTATTAGCTGACAGTCTTATGGAAGTATATCTCTGTGTTTCACACTGCCTTTCCTGAGGGATGTGATTCATGTGTGTATGTGTGTGTGTGTGTGTGTGTGTGTGTGTGTGTGTGTGTGTGTGTGGTGTGTGTGTTTGTGGGCACATACAGTTTAATATATGATTCACAGCTCTCAGCCTTAGAGCACCTGATGACCTCACCTTGCCTAAATGACATAACAGCTGCTTCACTGTTGTGGAGGATCTAAGTGGGAGTGCTTGACTTCTGCTGTTTGGTCCTGTGCTGTGGAACTGTTCATAATAGGATTGACCTAGATTAGTTCTGTCTGCTGTGATTTGCCTGCATATGTGTGTGTCTGTGTGTGCTTGTCTGTATGTGTATGCGTATGTGTGTGTGTGTGTGTGTGTTTGTGTGTGTTAATGTACACTAGTACACTAGGTTTGTTGTCATGTGCTAGAGGTGTCTTGCAACATGAGGCTTGAAATCGCAAACTTTGGGTGATATCCCATTTGTGGATTTACAGAGGAGACTTGGGTTTCGCAGGGTGGGATTTTAAGATCACTTGAGGCAGAATATTTGTACGTTTTCAAAATTATTTCCATCATTAGCTTCATCAGAATTCCCTCACCCACATATTTAAGTATGGCTTGCTCAGGAAATAATTAGTTTATCCAGCCATAAATTAGCATATAACTAGTTGTAGTCCCTGCTCCCTATTTTTTGATTAGGGAACTTTTTTTGTCATGAGGCTTTTCTAGGTGAAACATTTCAGTGACTTTAAGATAAAATCTTACAGATTTAACTTTCAATACTTGTGTTTGACCCTTTTAATACTCTAATAACAAGCTTTTTTTGAGAATGTGTCAAGTCTGCATATTTAGAGCAATAACATACTTTGTTCTAATCTGACAAAGTTGTGATCCCACACAAAAGACTGTAACAGATAAACTGTTTTTCATGTTTAAGAGCATGTACGTCATAAGCTACTCTGCAATCTTTACAGGCTGTAATGTGCATTTAGAAGTTGCGCCTGACATAGGTTTAAACTTATTCGTCGTGTAGGTGAGCACTGCAGTGAACTGTCCACAAGATGGCGATATTGTACAACTCACTTGTCTGTTTAACATAGTTCAGTCTTTCGTGTTGTTTTGAATTCAGCGATTCTTGATCCAACCGTCAGGTGGCGCTAGAAATAAAGAAATATGTGCTCCTGTGTCCAGCTGTGATCATGCTTTGTGCGCTTTGAGGGAGAAACGCTGCCAGTCTTAACCCAAGCAAAACGATGTGAATGAGCTGTGGATCCCCGAAAGCTTTTTTTCTTCAGTTGTGAAAATTTTGCTCCCCATCCTTTTTTCTTTTTTTATTAAGGGCCGTGCACGTGCCGGTATTATGCTGAGAAATGCATGCATGGAGAAAGGGTAATACAGCAGACACAAATTCCTGTCGAATTACGCATACCCCCTTAAAGTTCCTCTACCTACACTTCAGCGTCAATCACTGTTTGCAGATCATATTTAAGATGGCTTATGGAAATGCATCCTCTCTCGAGTCTATAGAAAAATAAGGGACACTTAACGTTTATTAAGTATAAAATTCAGATACTTTGTCACCACAGATCTTCCCCAAGCATGCAATTCTTGGCACAACACCTGTTTTTAGTTTTTGTCAAATAGAGCCTATCCATTATCTCTTGCGTAATTCTTGTTCAAACAAGCTTTTTTTCTATTTTCAAGTGTTTTGCATCGAAAAGATGCGCTCACATTTTAATTATAGGTTAATTTAAGTCCAGTTTAAAAACTGTAGTGTTTACTATGTCATAAAAAAGTTTCAAAGCTAACCATGCTTTTAGAACATTTTCTTTTAAATGTGAACTGATTCGACATGTGTTAGATTTGACTGCTGCTGTTCGGTTGTGTAATTCTGCTTCCTTATGGATACAGATCCATAAATGAAATCATATGAAATCAAATCAATCCACACTTTATTGATGCGAGAATGAGACAAAGAAATATTATTTGTTTTTCTGAGAAACTACAGATATTCATTAAAAAATTAAAAAATAAAGTTCTGTTTCTGACTTGTGATGTCACTCAGGCCTCACTCTGAGAAGCTTCCTCATTTGCGCTTTAATCACTGCTTCTTTTTTTTTTTTTTTTTTAATCTTTATACTTCTTGGGAGTGATTGATGCCTCCCAGGCGGCATTGCGCGCTGTGGAGAGACGATCATTGAATCCAACGGGCACAATAATGGCACTGCTGACAGGGTGCCTCACGCTCTCACGGTCGTCCTGGCTATTACCTGAACTGCACCTGTGGACTTCATCTCCTCTTGTCGTTTACACACGCGACGCAAGCTCCAGGCGCACGGGTGCGCGCGTCGCGTGCACTCACCACCGGCTGGTGATCGCCTTGTGCTGAGTTGACCGGATAGCTCCTTCTCCATACAGGTCCGGAGGCTTAAATGGGAGCAGCTCACACATGTGGACGACTTGCACGTTCTGTTCAGTAACTTTGATGGGGGCTTTGATATCAAGCAGGGAAAATGCCTGTGATGAAGGGATTATTAGCGCCGCAGAACACGTTTCTGGACACTATAGCCACACGTTTTGATGGCACGCGTAAGTTTGCTTTGAATTATTTTGCATGCAATTGAATCAGTTTTTGTAGATTTATGGTTTAAGTTCTCTATTGGGTTTTACCCTCTGGTTTGTGAGGAGCAGGTTGCATCTGATCTTTGGAGATCTCCAGCAGATTTAAACCTGCAGAAATAAAAGAAGAACATGGGATTATTATTTTCTTTGTCGTTGATGCAAATGGACTTTTAATTAAATGTACACAACAGGAGCCCCACAACAATAGGCACATTTGTTTTTGCTGAAATTGTACTTGCCTGTAATTCGAAATGGTTATATATCTGAGTGTAAAACTAATAGAGAAGCTGGGAAAGCTTCCACAGCAATTATCAGGCTGAATCTGTCGCTGTCCATGGTGCTGGAACATCAGCACCACAGACAGCGACCAAAGGGTTAACTGGGCGCTAACAGGCTCCCAGCTACTGTACATACAACACATCTGGACGACTTTTTCACAAGTTACTGCCTGTGTCATGTTTATTTTAATGACCACACCTGTGCATCTCTATCTCCCCCCCCCCCCACACACACACACCTGAGTTGTCAACTAGGTGTGTCCCTAACGTTAACCTTTATTATCTTTGTTCTTTGGTCTGATGAGCTACTCTCAGACCAGCGGTAGCATTTATCAGAATGAATTGGTCGTAGGTGATATTACAGCAGGTCTTTCACAGACTGAGACACGCACAGGGCTTTCTAAAGGCAACTTCTGTCTGAACTCTCTCTCTCTCCTTCTTTTTCAATAACGAAAGGTCTCTTTTTACTCTTTGAAGATTCATAGAGGTCTGCAATGATGTAATGATGATTGTCTACGTTTGACTTTTGTTAAGCTGAGCTGCCTTCCACCCATTGCCTGAGCCTTGAAATGTGTGTTAGATCTTTGTTCCTTTTGGTTTTCTAGGCAACCATGAACAATTTGACATTTTTTGCAATGATTCCCTTGGTTTAGAAACTTTGCCTGTTTTTTTTCTTGATAAATATATTGTTACTCTTTGCTGTTCGGACTGCAACTAATTATTAATTTATTGACTTATCCCAAATCACTTTCTTAATCACTCATTAAGTCTGTAAAATAATACAAAATGAGTGAAAATGCCCATAACGGTTATCTGAAGACTAATACAATGTCATCATATGTGTCCATAATGTTCATACAAAGAAAGCAACACATTTGCATATTTGAGAGTCTGACACTAGTGACCTTTCACCATCAAACTCTCAAACTCTGCATATTTTTGTACCAGTCAGCTAAACAAGTAATGGATGGATCAGGGTTTAATTGCATATCTAATTAGATCAACTCAGTGTGAATGTAAGAGACTAGTATTCTGTATTGTTTGCTTTTAAATTTTTCAAATTTGTCCTTGCTACCTTTATAAACACACTTCTATCTGTGGTCTTTCTTTGTCCATTCTGTGCCCATGTTTGGATTTCGTTTGTGTGTGAAAATCCTAATAATAGACGAAACAGATAATAACACAACCTTCCTTTAGTGCTTGGTTTCATCCCTAAGTCCACTCCTGAGCCCACTCTTACCACAGCAGTTGCTACAGTCTTCATTGTATGTTCATAACAACAACTGTATCTATAGTAACCCCAGACATCCACCCGTTGTTTCAGTAAGCAGACCTGCAGGCTGAGCACTACTGCATGAGTAAGAGCAGGCTTTACATTGAGTGGCAAAAACATGGAGCCGACTGTGCAGGAGCTCTGTTCTAACACATGAGAGTTGAAGAGGTATCGCTACTTGCACAAGTGGCTTTTCTTTTTTCTTTTTTTCGCTGTGAGGTAGAAGGAAATGAACGCAGGATTTGAACTGCAAGACAGGGCAGACTGGAAGCAGCGGAGCTTGACGGGACAAATTAGGTGTGATGGTCTGGCCAGGAGCACATATAAGGGAGGTGCTGAGTTCACTGCTATGCGATCCCTTTTGACGTCATTCGTAGCCCAGGCGGGAGGGTCAGACCTGGAAACAGTAAATGATAAATGGATGAAAGTGAAAGTAGGCAGGTCTTTAACTTGATCTGATTTGTACCAGGGTTTGTTTTATATTTATATGTGACCTTTAAATGGATTCAACAGTTTTTCAGAGCCAATAACAGGAGAGATTATCGTTTCAACTCAAACCCAGGGCTCTTTGTCCTAAGATAAGATTTACTTTATTGATCCTCGCAATGGGAAATTCTGTTTTTTACACTCTCTTAATCATGCAACACACACATAGGCTGAAATATACAAACAGGATCCTATGGACATGCACTAATGGACAGATGTCAGAGTGACTCCTGAGCTGGTGGTGGGAAAGGGGGTTTGGTGCCTTGCTCAGGGGCACCTCAGCAGTGCTCAGGAAGTAATCTGGCACCTCTCCAGCTACCAGACCAACTTCCAGATTTGGTCCGCACCGGGACCTGAACTGGCGATCCTCCAGTTCCAAACCCAAGTCCCTACAGACTGAGCTACTGCTGCCTAGGCCCAACCTTTCAAGATAAATTCATGTACGAGATATGAGAGGACATCACATGTTTATTAGAGTAACTGTTTTTTAAATTACATATCCTTGTTTGATGGAAACAACTTAGAAATGACTCAAAATCTGTTGCTTTGTCAACTCCACACACCTTTGATCACACTGTCTGGATCGGTGTGTGTCTGTTTGCCCACACTGTAACTATACACATCAGAATCTGTGTGTAGCTCTGCACTGTGATGACTCTGTGAGAGAGCGCTGTGACACTGTGTTTCATCAGTCCATCATCCAGGTGACTAACTTTATCACCTTACCTTTGTTGGAGCTGTATTTAGTAGTGAGCTGCTCATACAAAATCACACATTGTCTCTCATAGCCCATAATTGCTTATAGTCTCTTTACATTCAGAGTAAAGCTGCATTATAGACTTCGATTGGATGTAGCCAATGTAACATTAAACATTTTTTTCATGCCTGTGGCTCAGTGGTAGGTCGGTCGTCTCTCAGCCGAAAGGTTGGGCGCTCAATCGCCATCTCCTGTGGTCACATGTGAAAGTGTCCTTAAGCAAGACTCTGCACCCCAAATTGCTCCTGCTGCTATGTAAGCGGTGTGAATGCATATTAATGGGGTGGTGCTGATGGGCCATTGGGCACTTTATGTAGCAGCCCCTGCCATCAGTTTGTGAATGTGGTGTGAACGGGTGAATGTGACATGTAGTGTTAATGTTTGAGTAGTCAGAAAGGCTTGAAAAGGGCTATACGATTCCATTTACCATTTGTGCCATTTCCCTTTTTTTTTATCTGAGTATAGAAATGTATGATAGGAGTTTAAATCTGCTATGCCATTGACTTTCCATATAGCTGGTAAAACCACTGAAATGTATTAAAAAGGTATCCTTATGACTCTCTGGCTGGGAAACTAGCTTTCTATACCTCTGAAGTGATCATTGTCTCTTTGCAACTTGGAATACTTGCTGACTCTTCCTTCTGTCAGGCAATGATGGCCTTCATTTGGGAAATGGAGACCATATTGGGCTTTCCTTCCACCAAAATTAAGCAGACGGTATGGTGTTGCAGTTGTAACAGAGGGCTGTGTAAAGCCTCCAATAGTGTGGGCTGCGTGCTCCCCATCCTGCACCATTGTTCCAGAATGCTATTTTCTAGCTCCCAACGCACACTAGTTCTACTTCCACTAGATAGGTAATTACTGTCACAATCACTGATGCTGAGACATGGAACAGCTGTGTGTTGAGTCGACGTGTTAAAGTGTGTGTGCCTGTGTGTGTGAGAGCGTAAGGAAAGAGGAGGAGGATGGGGAGGGTAAAGCGAGAGGAAACAGGAAAGTATGCTAAATTTTGAGCACTTCAGAGTTGAGCACATGAGTTTGTGTCACAGAACTTTACAAGTGTGTAGCTGTGTGTGTGTTTTCTATCTTTAAGCATAAGGGTACAGTACTAAAGCAGAAGTTTCAACTCGACTGATAAACTACCTTTCTTTAAATATTTAGGCTGTAGTGGCTGTGGGATTTCACATCTTGCCATTTTCTGTCACGTGTTTAAAAAACTAACCCGGGTATTGCAGACAATAAAAGAAGCCGACGCTATCAGAGTCGGCTGTCTTAAAAGAAGACACAGTGTTGCTCTCCCTGTGGCTCAGTCTCACCAGCAGCCTCATGACCTGCAGGAAAACCCAGGGAGCTAATTACTGAGTCTGAAAAAACCACAGACAACATGCTGACGCACAAATGTTTCAATGAGGTTTATTAAAGCAGAGTAAACTTGGGCTATTTGGGTGTGTCAAACTGTATAAAAAAACATTAGCAACTCTTTAGTTTTCCTTAATAGAGTTAGAACACATCATCAGATTATGCTACTGTGAAAAGGCAGGTCTAATACAGTCCTCAGATAGAGATTGACTGTGAAAGAAGTAATGAGTGCAGTTATGAGACAGCGAGGGAGTAATCAATCATCATTGACTGTAGTGCCGCAGGGTGCACAGGGGCCCTCACTTACTGCCGCTGGATTGGCACTGCTGCTCCCCTTTTCTCCAAAGCCCACTTAATATCAGGACTGTTTTATTTTAGAGTAAAAATAAACTAGGAGGAATGAGATGTGCTTTATCCGATAGAACAAAGTATAAGGTGCCAACATATTACTTCTGTTGTGACTTCTTTCAGGGCTACTAAATGTGTTTTTTTTTATTTTTTAGCAAATTAGTGTAATGCTTTCTCCAGTTAGCCATAAACAAAATAAATCAATTCATTAATCGTAAAAAAGTTAAAAGTTTTATTAATTTAGCACCATTTCTCTCATTACCTTTTAAATGAAAAGCGGATCTTGAAAGTATTCTTTGAAATCTTATTTGCAAAGACCAAATATAAATACGCCCATGAGCAACTACTTTGCCAAAGTGTCAATGAAGAAATGCTTTCAAGCAGGTAGAGACCTCGAGCAGAACCAGAACCAGCTGACTAAGAAAGCAGGATAGACAGAACGATTCAATGAGATGGAGACAAATAT